AGCTTGCCCAGTGTGAAGGGTTTGGTTTTGTTGTTATTTTTTTGCTTTCTGTTCCAAGCAATTCTATCTAATGTTTCCAGTACTGTGGAACAAATTCTTCTAGATCCAACACATCACTCAAAGAGGTTGTAGTCTGCTCAAAGGTTATTGCCTCCCCCAGTCTGCTGGAAGAATTCTTACTGTGAGCATTGCTGTAACTTTCCCAAATGTGCTTAGCTAGCATATGTCACCTTGTTTAGTCTGAAATGCTTGGAAAGTCATCACCTGAGCTTCTCCATAGCAGATCCAGGAGGAAAAAAAAATGCAAATTCTGGCAGAATTCTGAGAAAGGCACCTGATGACAGGAGGATAAAAACTTCCTCCTCCAGCATGACTCTCCTCAGCAGCTAGTGTAGTTGTTGCTTCTCTGGGGCTCCTTAAGTGCTTTACAGATACTATTTGAAGGGAAGGTGCAATCCGGAAGATGATACTTTGTCAAAACAGTAATTACGAAGGGAAGACAAAATTGCTGCTTGCCACTGCATCTTAGCCCTTTCATGCTGGTGTATGTGAGGAGCTTCAGATGACTGAAATATTACATCACTCTGCATTCACATTTTTTTTGCTAAGGGGATAGAGTAGGAAAACATTTATAATAAGCGTAAATCTATCACCAGAAAAACGCCATGCAGTATTGTTTTTTTTTTTTTTTTTAAATCTTTTTTCCCTATTACGAGGATGGAATTCCACTGAAAATTCAGGATAAACACTATTTCAGCAGAGTTCACACAGTGGTGGGCGAGTAGTGATTGCAGCAAGCAGCATTGAAGAAAATGTGTCTCTTTACAAACATACCTTTCTTAACGATGCACATAGAGCACGTGCTCAGCAAATGTATTTGTCAATGTGCTGCTTTTTTTTTTGGAATCTAGCTTTCCCTACTACCTCATGCTAACTTAAAGTCTCTTGAAAAACAACAACTAGTCTTATAGTTTGGATAAATGCGGCATATTTGCTTTTTCTTTTTTTTCCCTCCAGAATGCAGTGCTAAAGAATTTTCATTTTAAGATGATTTATTTACTCATGAGTGGAGCATGCACGGGTGATAGAGCAGCGCTGCTAGAGCTGCCCGCAGCTTCAGGGTACCTGCTGCCCATATGTGTTATTACCCAGCTGCCTGCTAACAGCTCTCCCTTTATCTAGGTCTGCAGAAGGCGCGGGGCGGGCACGGCGCCGCTTCCCGTTCACACCTGCTCTCTTCTCCGTTCTTCCACAAGGCAGAAGCACAAGGATGTGCAGGAAGCTCCAGCTCTCTTCACCGAGGCGCCAGAACCCTCTCCTGTACTCAGTGCCGGGGATGGAAGCAAAGGCAGCTTCCCACTCTTTCACTATGACTCACTGGAGAAGTACAGGGAGGGAGAACACCCGCCTGCTCAGTCAACAAACTGCTTGAAGGTAGAGAGATACCTCATTATAAACTCCTGTATCAAAAAATATACTGTATGCCTTATGCGCTAAGTAAAAACATAGATCCGTGACACCCTGCAACTATATATACTACGAAAAAGAGAAAGAAGAAGAAATATAACAGTTGACATTTAACACTAAATGCTTTTACAAGGCCTTCAGAAGTATTTTGGCAAGATCCTTTCAGGCTTCAATATCCTGGCTAACCCAATGCTGAGCTGATAAAAGCAGCAATAAATATACAAAGGCGAGTGAAGTCTTTGTCAAATGCGCAAGCAGAACTGAAAACAATTCCAAGAGAAGAACAGCTTGGACTGCTTCCATTTTAGGACGGAATGGTTATGCAACAGTAACTCCTATGAACTGTCCCTTCTATCCTCTTCCTTCCATTCTGCTTTGTTGGCTTGAATAACACATTCAGCGCAAACACAATACGCACTGACCATCACAGACTATATGACCTGTATAGGATTTCATATAGAGACACAATTAAAACCTCTGAATCATCCTGCAATGCTACATTGAAGGTAAAGGGGATGAAGGTTAATACTGTTATCCTTCCCTCAGCAAAATGACACACGGGCTTAAGAAGACATTTAAAGGATGACTAAAGCCTTCAGCAGCTCTTTCTCTTAGACCAGTTCAAATCCAAATTTATGTACATGCATACCTCAAAATACTTAGTTCACCAAGGCTCTCAGAACCATGCGATTTTTTTTAACGCTAAAATGTATTTCATTAACGTACACAATGCTACCTGTTCTACATATACTTAAAAGTGAAGACTGTGCCTAAGGCTAGACATCTTCATTTTATTAAAACCTTTTGAAAATTGCTGACCAGATTGAGATGAGTATTGCCATTTTTTGAGCCTAAAAAGCATTGCCATGATCAGCAAAGAAATTACATTGTCTTTAATAGTTTGCAATAATACTGTACTGAATCTCAACATGATCTGAGCACCTTTCTAGCTATTTACACAAATTTTACAAACATCTTGGGAATTTTCCTGAAGGGCCAGTCTTTCATTAACTTTGGCTTTGGACATAGGTTTGTGCAAATATCCAGAGATCTGTGAGGCTTGACTAGAGTCTTCTGACAGGTTTCCATGGCATGACTAAAGAGCTGGAGAAGCAGCAGCTTACAAAATGTCCTCAAGCACTAATAATTTGGCCCTTTTAAACATGTATTAGCAAGAATATATTCCAGGAGCTAACAGCAAGTAGAAGAAAAACCTCTGAGCAAGAGGACTCACATGATTCAGTGCCTGAAGAGCTTATGCGCAAAGAAGAAATTAAAGCAAACTAACACAAGGTAACGTGCGTTAGGAAAATAAGCGTTTCACAAGATGGAAGAAGAGGTGCAGCATACAAGCAAAGGTTTCTGAAAATAATATTCAAGAAAATTACTTTCAGCTAAGTATGAATATTAGCAAAGCAGTATCATGACAATTAAAATACAAAGGAGAAGCACATTATTAGTTCAGGAGAGGGACCTGAGAGCTCCCCTTGGGTTCCAACTCCTCTGCCTCATCAAAAAAACAGGCCTAGAAGAGGGCTACAATTTCAGTTACAGACATTGAATTTTTAGAGAATGCTTCCCAAGACACAATCAGTGACGTAAGTCATAGTCTAAGAAGTGATTAACCCACTCTTTATTGAGTTTAACTTACAAGAAGTTTTCTACATAGTGCTCACTAAGGAACTTAAACATTTGCACTAACTACTAAATACTTGCTAAAATACAATTCACCACAGTTCTTCAAAACATTTCTTCCTTGCTTGTATATTTCGCTATCACTATTCACTAGTTTTATGTTTGGACAATTGACACATCCCAATGCCTGCTACACAACGTGCTTTAAATACTGCTGTTGAAGCCAACATTACCTAAATAAGTAGTAAAATAGATAAATAAATGAAAATTTGTAATAGGAGAAAACAACCCTCAAGAGACAGGAGAAAAACACTCAGGTATACTTTTCATCTGGATAATCACAGAAGTTAACTATCACCACTGTGGTGATAGTGACCATGCTGGTACATCCCATCACTAGGCCTCTAGAAGTTAATCACAGTTCTCAAATCACACACTAAGTCGGATGCAGATTAACAAGTACATTAGAGAGCATTTGCTTTCAGCAGCCCGTCTGCTGCAGGTGACTCTGTAGTCTGACTTTTTAAGCATCCTACACAGGAGACTCACATGCCTTGAAAGACTATGCCCCAGCCCGGGAGCTCCCTCGCGTGTATAAGAGCAACAGCAAACACTAAAGAAAGGAGAGGCAGCTTGAATCCCTGCTTTCCCTTGGCACTCATGTTTCCAATTGTGTCTCATAAGAGCAGCTGGACAGTGGGTCAGGCCCTCACACACGAAGTGGGGAACTCTACGAGAAGTCCCTGTTGTCGGAACCATCAGATTTGCACGCAGTAAAAAGCGCTTCGTTTTATCCAGGCATTGGGTAGGAATTATACCCTGGGATTTACTTATCTCAGGTGTATACCTAACCATGGGACTTTTCTGCTTGCAGCCTAATGAACCCTCTAATATAGATATATATGTTTAGCATAGCGATAGACCTTCTTAAGAATGAGCTCCCCATTCAGCCCACTTCAGGGTCTAAGGCCAAGAGCATCTTCCTGACAAGCCAATCTTTGAGCTCCTCTCAGACTTCAGGCAATGAACCAAGCTTCCCATATGCAGAGCATGCCATGCTAGAAAACTATGAACAGCTATCAGAATTGACTCATTAAAGAGTTATTGATTCAAAAAAAAAAAACTCTACAACACCCCAACCATCTATAAAGGACACATGAAAGTCTGAAAACCCCTTTGTAATCAAGTCTTTAGACTTTCTTACTGAAAAAATACAAACCAAGCTGTACTTTTAAACCTTAACTATTCGATAAGTCTCTTCTGCTCCTCTCATTTTAGCATCCTCCAAATCTGACTTACCAAAAAAAAAAAAAAATCAAAGAATTCATTAGAAAGATTGAATGTAGTTATCACTGAAAGTATGTAAAAATGACTTTGCAATGCAGAACGCTTTGCTCCAAATATTTACTCATTTTATTAAGGGATGAACACGGAGTCTGATGAGGGGTTAAAAAAACACAAGGACAAAAAGCTAAAAGATTGAGAAGACAACAAAAAGCTAATACACAAAATGAGATTAAAAAAAATGATATATCATTTAAAAATATGTATTTTTTATTATGAAGTACAACATACAGAATTTGCTTTTCACCAAGCTGTCAGGTATTCACAGATATTCTGAACCAAACGCACAAACAGATGTTGTTGGAATTTACTGGCAGAAGAAAAATCAGCCTACATAAAAAAAATATATGTTCATGATGAAAATTAAATTGTAAAATTCTCTCTCAACAGAGAAAGACATGAAACTTTTTTTTTCTTTAAAAAAAAGCCTCACCAATAGCAAGAAAACAGAACAGTTGTTTCTTCTTTACATTCCAAAAAACCCCTCCCATCATCTTACAAAATATCAAGTCAGACAATTTTTACACTGTAGCTATCAAAACATATCAACTTACAGAGTACTGCCACAGCTCCAGACTCAAACATGAGACATTCTTCTCTGTTTCTGGTTTCCACTATCACACTGAAGGGAGGTGGATCCAGCTTGTGATAGACACGGTATCCTTTACTGAAAGCCATTTTGCCTTCACCAGAGGCAGTCCTGTCCAAGATAAGATGATGTTAGTGAGAGTTTCTTGTGCTTCCAGATACCTTCTGCAAGGTAGGTCTGACTTCGAACCCCTCCTAAGAAATGTATAGGTTTAACGTTAAAAAGGTGTCAAACTCGCTCTTCTTTCCCGATGTTTTTTTTTTCAGTATCACAATCCAAAGGAATATTTAAAGGCAACGTAACAATGTTTCCAAAATGTAATTACCCAATACAAATAAACCCTAGGGCGGGGGTTATTCAAAAGCTTCTCTGAGAATCAGAATTTATTAAGTCACAATATTCAACAAACGTGGTTTCTTAGAAAAACAGAAGCGCTATTTGCCTCTAGCCACCACAAACATGTAACAACTGTCTTACTCATAAGGCTCAACGTCAATCGAGGAGGGCCAGAAGCCTGGGCCAGCTTCGGATCCTGCAACTACTTTACCCATTCTGACCTTGCCACGAAAGGACAGTGTCGTTTAAATAGGAAAGCTGCTAAGAGGCTTTAAAAGATCAAACAGAAACGTGAGCTGGCGGCTGCTGCTGCTATAAGAAGCAGGGTTTTGCTTGGGTTTTAGCCCTCGCCTGTAGCATAAGTGAAGGAAATACTGCAGAACTGTACTGCTTAGAAGCCCATAAGGTAAGATATTCCTTGAAAAAATGAAAAAAAAATAGATTTATATATGTATGTATATATGCATATATGTATATGGAAGGGGTGAGGGGCTGGGAACATTTTTAAGGGCTCACGCCGAGAAAACGCAGGAGCGGCGACTCCCGAGGGCTGGAGCTGCGGGGAGCCGGGAGCCCGGGCGGGCGCTGCTGGCAGCGGCCGGCGGGTCCGCGCCC